GGAATTGCAGAATAGCTCCCAGGAACGTGATCTTGGTGTGATCGTACAGAGCGACCTCAACTGTTCAAAACAGGCTGAGGTAGCTGCGAAAAGAGGCAACCAGCACGCCGGCATGCTGCGAAGGGCATTCGGGAGATTTGACCCATCAATCTTCCCAATGATGCTCAATTCCTACGTGCGCCCGCAAGTTGAGTACGCAATCCAAGCTTGGCAACCTTGGTTGAAACGCGACCTAGAAGCGATAGAGGCACCACAACGGAGAGCAACCAAGAACGTGATGGGCCTGCGGTATCACTCTTACCACCGAAGGCTGAAGTTGTTGGGAATTTTCAGCGGACGCTATCGAAGGCTGCGCGGCGATCTCATATTAGCGTATCAAATATTGAGTGACCCCAACCACGTATGCCGCCATTTGCTGAAACTTAGCCACAACACGCAGCTCAGGGGTAACTGCTTAAAGTTGAAGGAACAATATAGCCGTCTAGAGTGTCGACGGAATTACTTTTCCCTTCGAGTTTGCAAACCATGGAACGCACTCTCAGACTCAGTAGTATCCTCTCCTACCCTGGATGTTTTCAAAAAACGATTAGATGTTGCCCTCAGCTCCCAACATTTTGTTACCTAAGCTCCTCTGTTGTGGATTACGCCAAGCATGTTTTCAACAGGACTAATGTATCAAATGGACCTAAGTGAGCGACCATATTTTATTTTCTCACTCCTTACCTCAACTATCACTGCGCCCCAGTGTCTTTCTGAATGTTTACGCGCGATATTTCTTTTTCATTTCACACTGATGTTAATTATCAAAGTATTCATATCGGCAGACGTTCGATAGATGACCCACACATATTTTAATTGCATCATATTCACCGCTACCATCCTACGGGACATGTCAAGCACTTGCTTTTATCTCGTGATAAATCATTGTTCATTGTCTGAACTGGATGGATTTGTGGAACGTCGATTAGTTCAAATGACATAAGTTGAGTATACACTTTTAGGGTGTGCGCAGCACTTTGATATGCCTAAGGAGGAAACAAAAATTGACTGGGAAGTCGGGAGGGTTGGCAAAGACCCGTCATTGAGAACAGCTCCGCCTAATTCGAAGCAGTAGCCAAGAAGAATGGACGGAGAAATCCAGTGCCATCGCATGCCTAAGCATCCACATGGGAAGCATTGGTAAAATTTCGATGTAAACATGCTCTGTATGAACGAAACAGGAAACACGGACTTGACCACGTTCTGCTTAGTGAGGTGACTTATTAATTTCCGGTCAGATATTCACTTCCTAAATTCTGGAAATGCGATAAACATGCAGATAACTAACATGCATGCCAGCACTCAGACTCCAATGACATGCGTCTGGTTAGAATTGAAAGGGAGACCAACCGATGACTTGGTCAGGAAAAATGAAAGCCCGCACTTCGAGGTTGCTCTCAACTGGAGCGTCTCAACTTCCTGGTTGGGGTCTGAAAGACGATGAACACGTTTAATTGAAGACACTTGTTGACAAGCCGACCTCAATGCTGTATGTGTGGTGAGTTCTTTTGTCCCTCACCATCGCGGTTAGCCCCCCTCTCCAACTACGATCTGGCTAATGATGCGTAAAAATAAAAAAACGAAATATAACCTATGGAGCGGATCAATATTGGGTGTTGCTCGCCCGAAAACTGACCAAGTGTAGCCAAGAGGTTGCTTTATGCACCATTGGTAGATGAATATTCAAGACAAGACACACGATCTCAGCAATGTGAAAAAAGCAAATAAATCACGAAACAGTACCATAAAGTATAAAAAGGAAAATCATCATACTGCAAATCGGATGGTTAGATCTCGAATAACAACTGGGGTCTCGCAGAAAACGCGAAAAATAAGAGATGACAAACGACTGATAGGCTTATGTGCCTGTTGCCTGGTAGACGAAGTTGACAGACATTCAGATAAAGCGTTATGAAGGGAATGACTTGTATCGACCAGTACCTTTAATATGTGTTGATAAAGGTAGACATTGGAACGCCGTTACGTCAAAATAAATGCCTTAAAGGACCCGATAATTGGCTTAAGGTACTTAACCAGTAGACCGGGCAAAATTGCAGAGGAGCAGTACATCCAGCGAGGAAGAACAGAGCAGCTGATAAAGCGAGGGACCAGATAACGAGGGGCAGAGGCTTACAGACGAGGCGCAGGACAACAACTTAACTTTCGTGAAGTTTCATAGAGTCTAAACTAAATCACAGGTTTGTACCAAGTCTAGGGTCGGCCGGTGGCCGAGTGATCTGCACGCTTGGCTTGCAATTATAAGGTCACCGGTTCGAATCCGCGTAGGGGCGGGTGTCCTCACGGTATACTCAGCCGGCGCGCGACTGGTGGTGATCGCGCGGCAGCAAAGCGCTGTTACGACGTACAGTTGACACATTATTTTTTTTACCATACCCAGGTGCTTCGTTGATGTAGCAGAGTGTATTCCGTCGCCATCAGTAAGCAGCTTGGGGCACCGCCTAAGGAGCTGCTCGTGCCTGACTCATCTGTGTAGCGAAAAAATGAATGTCATGATGCTCTGTTGTATTGAGACATGATGATCTTTGGGCCAAGTACTGCAGTAGTTCAGAAGATCTTGAAACTTAATTGAGCAATTGGCAGTTCGATGACTGATACACAGGACGGTGTCGTTACCATACCTAGTATAGCCACTCGTGCGGAAACTGGTGTTGACCTGATGTAGGTAGAAAAGAGAAAAGGCGACAGAACTGCTCTCTGAAGAGCACCGTAGTTGGTGATTAGTTAGGAGGAGCATCTGTCAATGAGTCGGGTAGTCGGAGTGCGTTCAGTAAAATAATCACTCAGCAAAACGGACGATGAAGGGATGCATTCCTTGAAGTAGTAGATCACTTAGCTACAATTCGCGATTTACACAACCAAGTCAAAAAACACATGAGTTGATTTTTTTTCTGTTGTCAAGCGACAACACTACAGAATGTGCAAGGTTGGACACAATCTAAGGTAAGCGAAATGAAGAGGCTCATTAGAGTTCGTTTGCGAGAATGATTTTCTCCACAACCATCAAGGCAACAGAAGTACTAGTGATGGGTCGGATATCTCTATTGGATTTCTTAATTCGGCATTTCTCTAGCAGTCAGCAATTTCCTGTGGGGCTGCCTACACACATTGTGTGTATACAGACGCAAGAGAAGTTGTCAGAAATCGGCACATTCTTTGAATATGATAGGAGATAGCTTATCTGGACCAGTAGCTTTACCGTTATGTAGGTGCTTCAGTAAATTATTTAGTTACACTGTCAACAGGAGGCAACGAATCGACAGATCGCGCAGAACTTGAGAATCGGTTAACTTCAATGTAAATCGCGGTTCACATAGAGATTCCGCGTCACAATCCTTTCACACAACGAGTGCTTCAAAATAACCTTCCAATCAAATTATTACTTGTTTCGATTTTGTGCTACTCGTTCTATCCTTTTTTCGAATATAGCAGCACAGTAGCTGAGATACTTCTCACAGCGGATGTGTAGAATGATAGAGATCAATCATGACAAATAACCAACTATGGTGGTTTTCTTTGGCCTGAAAACCGCCTCTGTTGATTGTCCTAGATTGTAGTGCTTCCCGTCAACGCCGTGCCAAAGAAGCGGATTCTGTTCCAGACGTTGCCTACTGTGACTTCCTAGGCCGAGTGAGTGTTTACTATAACATGTCTCGGGAGCTCTCCAAGATGGATGGGGTACCTCAGGATTGTTCTATGTATTACTTCAGCTTTGTTATCGAAACGATTGTCTCAGAATATTCTGGAGCGACTGACAAATCGTGAGTATGCGGATGACAAGCTTTCCTCGGATCAGGGCCCGCGGCTATGCAAGCGCTATCGAATAGGACGACGCGTAGCGTCGCACGCTTCGGCATGCGCTCTGCATCTACAAAGTGCAAAGTACTGTTGCAGGTCTGGACCGATATGCCACCTGTTATTGTTATCGGCAAACAGCCGCCGGAAGTAGTGGATCGGCTCATTTACCTTGGTCCGTGTCATCTCCGGCAGTCACTTCACTGAGGAAGTTCGCATATCAACAAGGCATGTGTGCAACTTCGGAGGCTCAACTATCCATGGAGACGATGGGATATCAGTCTGGCAGCATTACTGTATGTAGCAGAGGCCTGGCCACTGCGCGTCAAATACCTTAACAGATTGACCATATTTGATCGCCGGTGCCTGAGCAGTACTTCTAACGTTCAGTTGGAATAGCAAGTGAGCAATAATGAGGTCCGCCAGTTGGCATTTGGAAAGAAACCTATTGTCTCACTGGAGTGTCTACTAAACTTGAATCAACCCCAACTTTAGCCTGGTCATTTCTCACGGATGTCCGCTGGCCGCATTCCTTGGTGTGCATTATGCACTGTCGATGCACCTAGCAAATGACCGAGATAGTTGACTAGGGTGATGTGTCGTCCTCGTGGATGGGAGCCTCTTGATGGGCCGCATATGCAGTTGTAAACTTGGCACACTCGTGCATCTGATTGTCCCATTCTGGTTAATCTTAACTTTTTCCCAAACCCCCTTTTCTTTGTATCCCCTTTGCTTTCTGCAGTATTTTATTCACAAATGTTAATTATTGATATTCGAGCGATGCGATGCTAGTCCTGGCAACTGGATCCACTGTACGTCATTGCCCCGATCATAGCTGTTTAACTGAGCTGTAACGAATCTTAGCGCTTTCGAGAAATGTTGCAGAGAGCACCATTGGCACTATCACGATAGACGTATCTCTGCCAGCGGTAATCATAAAGTGGATACTCGCATCCGCTACAGCAGGTAGCGTGCTCTTTTCCAGGCCAAAGCAATATTGATAGAGTAGCGATCATATTTCAGACTGAGTTTGCATCCACTGCTCTCTCAGCACACTATTCACTTCGTGCTACAAAGGAATTTGACCGGTTTTGTATTATTTCATCGCATATAACTTAAAAGATTTAAAATGAACCTTTCCTTTTCAGATTCTTTTCTTATCGTCCCTAAAGTCAAGGTCCGCATGGATCGAAGATTTTATGATTTGGATGTGCCACTCAGCAACGCTAGCCCTATGTTAATCGCTCGGATTCTAGATGCAGGCTATCAGTACATAGCTCTGAGCCAGTCGGTCACAATCGATGATTTCAACTTTAGCTTAAAAACGAACACAGATGCCACTCGGAAGAAGACCAAAGATGAGCGTCAGTCAATGCGATCCAGACTTATGGACAAGCTTACACCTCCAACACGCGACTCAATGAACGCAAAGTTGTCCGACAGTTTTAAATACCGCACAGTAAACTGGTCCCCCGAAATAATGTGTTCTCCCCGCTTATTCCGTCGACTGAACCTGTGTTGTTCCGAGCCTTCTCTGGCAGGCATGTTTTTCAGAGAGTTCGGGGAAATGTTGAATCGATTCGATATCGTAAGCATGTGTCCTGCATCTCCCGGAGCGCTGGTATATGCGTGTGAAAGCGCTCCGTCCCTTGATCTGATTACTCTCGACCTGTCCAACCCTGGAGATCTCCGTCTCACAAGCAGACAGTGCTCACTGATTTTATCTCGTGGACTTCGCTTGGAATTTCAGCTGCGCTCTCTGTTTCACTCCGGTTCCAGTGGTACCACGGCCAGATCAACGTTGGCCTATTATCTCGTCAATCTGCTTTCTGGAGTCCGGCTATCATTTAACAAATCCATTGTGGTCAGTTCCGGTGCCACAGTCGGCTGGGAAGTGCGTCGCCCGCTAGCAGTAATTGCCATATTACAATGTCTCGGGTTAACCCCCCTAGAAGTGGCTCAAAATGCCCTGACTAGGGGACCGTATTCAGCCATAACACATGGTCTATCCCGTAGTCGAACGTGTCATGGGACTGCTGCCTTGTTGTCGTTACTGTCCAATCCATCTGTGGTTTTCATTGATGATATCGATGGTGCAACAGCCACAAAGAAAGAATCTCCACCGAACAAAAAACAATGCGTGGGATCTCCCGATTAATGTTACCCCTTGTGTAAAGTTTGATGATGGACATTTATATTTCCGGACTTGTCGGGTTTCACACACATGAACACTTGGTTGGGTAATCTTTCCACCGACGTAATAATTGCATAGTTGATTGAGCCTCCAGTGAGATAGCCATGAATACAACCTACCATAAACAATCAGTAAAATAGTACACCAGCCGGATCTCTATGGATTATGGGTGAAGGCGGTCGGACAGAACTAAGATTCTCAAGTGCCTGAGGCGCCATACAAGCACACTTAGTTGTCTTTCTCACATGCGAACATTTGATGCTAATATACAAGGTGGGTGCAAAGGTTGAGGGTGGTGTGAAAAACTTTATGACACAGTAACAAATCATTGTACATGGAGAATATCCCGATTAATACTTTGATCGTTTGAGCAGTCCCGGTCTCCAATAAAGTGGATGAGTTTCTTCCGTCTGTAAGTAAAGTGCTGAGATGAACAACGAATGTGTGAGAGCTTACCGCGGTTTCGTCTTCCTTAAATATTTTGATGGTTTTGTCTGCCTCACAGGAAACCAAACGAGATCCGCTGCGGTCAAAAGCTAGTGCAAATATGCCTGCTTCGGAATCAATGCTGCCCGGTTGTATTTGAGCTTGAAGTCGCTGAAAGTTGTATCCCGACTTCCAATCCCAGAAATACATGCTTCCGTTATCTCCTTAAATGAATGGTAAACATAAAAATAGCTGGATTTTGTAGTAAACGTCAATGGTAAAACATGCAGCAAATGGATAACGCGAAACGGTGTTGATTAAGCCACGCAATCCCAGTTCAGTGAAATGATGCAGCCTGCAGAACGTCTACCATAGGGCGCAGTTGCAATTGCTGCGCGACTTAGTTGTGAAGCAATGATGGGTGATGGATTCGGAAACGTCCATTACGTTGTACGAAATGCAGAAGGCATTAGTAGTATCTTGGAACACAGTACCGACGCTTCACTGCCGCACAACCACCGCGTCGCACGCCGGCTAAGGATATTGCGAGGGTCGCCCAGTCCCTACACAGGCTCGAACCCGCAGATTTGTGATCCTTAGTGCTACGAGCCGGTACGAAATGCAGCAATCTTGTTTGCCTCGAAGTGACAGGAGGCACCCGCCTTCCACAAACACACGGCCTGATCGCTGGCTTCTGCCAAGCCTATGGGTTACAGTTGAATTTGTTACGATCCCCAAGATCGCGCCGTGTCGCTTTGACCACCTGTTTTAAACTTTGACGAAGCTTCTGTTACCAGTTTGATACTACCAAATTACAAAGCGAACGAAGTAATAATTTTTTGTTCGTCGCAATCAGCCGACAATTCAGATATGTCGACCAGCTCGCGGTAATTTACTTGGATGTTCACCGTCCTTTCCTTGCCAATAGTAGCATCAGACTATTCGGGAACCTTCTTCTAAGCAACCGACTAGATTATTCCGCGGAATTTCGGGATAAGGTTGTCTTTTGGCTAGAATAGTGTCTACCGAACGATTCCCAGAGATTCTATGGACGTGGCTCGAATGACAGCAGTGCACATGAGATTTAGAGCGTGACACACACATGGGCTCGATCCAAGCCTACGCATACTGGACATTGTCGCTAACAGTGTTTGTCCATGATGACCATTTAAAACGATCCGCTAGTATATGAGCAACAATGGGTAAAAGCTGCACGTCAGAAGGTGAGCTGGAAATAACTAAAACACGGAAGAAAAAACAGGACGATCGGTTGGAAGGAGACATCTAGGGTGATGAGCAAAGCGACCGGCGTCCATTTTAAAGTGCATCACTGTCCTAACCGAACAGCGCGTCGCAGTTACTTCACACAATGGGCAGCCCAAACAAATCAACGATGACGGGTTAGCGATTTGAAGTAAGGAAACGGGCCTAAGATCACATATTATCTTTCTTTATTGGCAAATGTCACCGCGATTCCAACTAAATCCTCATCAACAATAATAGCAGCACATCATAAAGACGCTTTGCTGCCAACAATGAACGGCCACGAACAGCTGGCTTTCATGTGGGGATAAGTTAACATTGGCGGAGGGGTTTTAGTTACTCTGTGGCATTATCCATCCTGCTCCAGACAACTCTACATCAAATAAAATTTAGACAAGCAACCCGGTTAGGAGACAGCAGCGAGAATTCCACTGGCTCTTGCCTGCAGCTATGTCCCTTAAGACATGAGACTAAACGCGAACTCCAGTCTGAATGGCGAGACGATTCAACAACAGCAGTATATCTGGGATCTGGACTGATTCTTCGCCGTTGTACAATCGTAGTGCTCTAGAAAATGGGTGATGGTATGATGATGAGAAGAGGAGCCTGGTGTAAATGCGATAAGCAAACATTCAGGATCAAGGCGACATCTTGTCAGCAAATCACGGTCACGAATAACTGGATATTGTGATGATAAACGGCACCGGCCAGGCACTTTGCTTGCGGTTTTCGCTGCCCAGTCTCATCGTCATCATTATACACGTTCGATGCAGGTGGAAAACACCACAGCTGTTTGTCGCACTACAAAAGACAAGAAAAATCAACAGGCATGCCGGCTGAGTCTCCAGTAACAGGTGGACATCGTTCCGGAGAGCTAACAGTTGACTATCGTGCCGCAAAAAAAGTTATATTATGCTTAACGAATGAGATCGTGATTAGAGGGGGAGGCTAAGCAAGAGGGGGATGGACAAAGGAACTCACAACACAAACGCCACTGGGGCCGGCTCCTAGCCATACCAGCAAATGTGTCCAACCAAACGTTTTCATCGTCATTGGGACCCCAACCAGGTAGTCGGGATGCACCAATCGACGCCAGCTTCGAAGTGAGGGTTTTCATTTCTCTCGATCAACCGCACCCCCGGTGCGCAAACAATGCACGTCGCGGAAGTCGGTGTACTGGCAATGAATTCATTTCCGCTGACAATAACCACCCTCGTGGTTCACATGCCATCCTGTACCTCTAGCAAATGCTCTCCCCGGTAAGCGACGGCCGTTAGTAGCACGTGCTCACATCAACGTAACCTATTTACCCATAGTTGTAGATTTAAGGAATTAACCTGATCAACAACGCTCAGTACTCCCTTCACATATAATCGCAGCGCACACGCTGAGTCCTCTGCTGACAACGGCCGCCAAAGACCTGAATAGGATTAAAGTATCGAAGGGGTCAAATCTCACTGCTGTAGAGAGTAGTCCCCGCTGTGGTACTGCAGACACGGCTTTTAAAATCAGTGAAAATCCCATCTGGTGTCAGAAACGCAGCAGAAACATCCTACACGTCAGCTAAGGTTGGTAATACCTCGGCTTACTGTACAGAAATGCAAATAAAGGAATATAAAAGCAGATAATATTATTACTTGTTCCATATTATGTATGGAGAATGAGATCTTGGTTAGAGAAAAACGCTAAGCAGAGTGGGGAACACATAAAACAAACGTCTTTGAGGTCCGCTATTCGTTATGTCGAAGTGACGGTCCTTATTCCTTTTGACAAAGTATTCGGTTGACCTCTCCTGTACTCCCACACAGGGTCAAGACGCCCACATCGCGGGCATGCGTAACATATGATCCAGCCATCGGAATCTGGTGCACGAAAGAACGGTGCTGAGCGGTTCGTTTAATCTTCCTGCGGAATAAGCTAGACGCCGAACACTCCTTGTTCAAGTGGTTTTCCCACTAAGCTAAGCTACGAATGTAACTAGTCTCTTTCTAACTATCAATCTGATTGACCAGGTTTCGTGACCGTGCAGGAGAGTTGAACGTACAGCTGCACAGTAGACACTACGTTTCAGGGCGATGTCGATGTCATGCTGGCGCCAGAGGTGGCGAAGTAGAGGAAAATGGCTTCGAGCTTTCGCCATGTGGTTAGTGACCTCATCTTCAATTCCATAAGTACTGGCTAGGTACTTTAATTTGTGAACGACTTCTGGCTTATCAATAGGAGTCAGCGTGAGTTCTCCTAAACTTGGAGAAAAATTGCATTTTAGGGATGTAAACCACATTCCCAAACGACTGACACAGTACTGTTGGTGCTAACTCTCCCGGAGCTAGAAACGGATGGCTTGTGATTACGCCTTGAGTGCTGAATAAGGAGTACTGATACAAGGAACACGAGACCGGGAGAGAAAGTAAAGCTATCATCATAGTGGCCTACAAATTAAAGCACACTTGTTATATGGCGAAAGAAAACAAAAATGCCGTACAATTTTACGACACCAACAACAATAAAAAGGTTCTTTTGTATCACAGAGACAAGGCGAGCGGATAGTAGGAACGTTCTCCTCCGTTACAAGCATGTGGCTGTTTGCAGACGATTGCGCATTCACTCTTCGGTCAATGCATTTTATTCAGTTCCTGCGCGCAGTCGCAGCTCACAGAAATTCTGCTTTGCAGATAGCTTGCTGCTTTTAGATAAACTTACTATAAAGGCAGCTTAACACCTTGTAGTTTGTGCCCAGTAAACACATTTGCTATAACTTTATCAATACTGAAGTTGAAGAGAAAGGTGACAGCGAGCATCTCTGTCGCACATCAATGGAGATACTTAAGGGATGTGATAACCTCCTATAAGCCCTGCTCTGCCCATACTAAGCACGTACACCACTCGGATAATGTCTACATATTTACCGAGCACACCCTTCCTGAGTAGAGTCACAAAAGATATCGATCCAACGAATCGAATGCATCTCTGATGTCGAAGAACACGACTACGGTGGGTCGTCAATACACCTGCTTTAATACAGCCTCAATTTCGACAAAACCAGGCTTACTTTTTGCAAGTCTGGTTTTCATAAATGCCTATCAGTTTACAGAGAATTTTGAAAATCGGGACGATAACGGAGCGGTTTCAGCCTGTTGGGACAGTCTCCTGCTCCCTACTCCCGCGATCTCAAGCAATTCCAACAGTCTGATCTCATGTTCGATTAATGCGCGAGCAGATGGATTAAACGGGGCCGCCCACAGAGAAAAGGAAACTGGTAACTTTAGTCGAACGCCCACAATGCTTTGACAATTCGTGGATTAGCTGTTCACATTCATCGCACATAGTTTTGCTAACATCAGGTCTCTTGTTCCCCGTTTTACAGGGAATAATTTCCAAAGATTATCAAGAGCAGCAGCCGTTTCCGTCTCTGGTGTATGATGAAACCACCAGGCTTTTTGGTCTCTATTCAGGTTAACACACAGTTCCGCCCGGATTTCACTGGCAGTGTCGTTATAATCGCTTCCAGTCGGAATCTGTCAGCAAGCATCCGAAAATTCCACACTGCGGAGAGACTCAATGTCCTGTTTGGCAATTTGATTTGTCACATATGTCTGAGGACCTGCGGCGCCTTCAAATCTGGTCATTACTGCCTGCGGAGCATTGTTTCGGGTGGCACCAATGTGTCCGTAACGATGATGTCCGTAGGCAAGTGCTAGACATTGATAATCAGTCTATTCCTCGAAACAACAGACAGCACTGAATAAGCTGCATTGACTTAGGCACGTACTATGTATGCCCAGTCACCGCTTGTCGGGGATGGTCTTGCTTTGTCTGCCAAATGCAGGGTGGCGCAAGACTCGAGGTGGACAAAAGTTTACTTGGCAGCGGGAAATGAAGTCACTGACGATCAAACTGGACGCCGTCGGTTCGTCTTACCTTTCATGTTGGAGTTCACATGACTCGCCTTGTGCTTGGCTCGAGAATTTACAGGACATGTCTCGCAGTCGGTACCAATGGCGTGTCTATCGTCGTCTCCTAGTGGGGATGCCTGTATGAAGTATGCTTACTGCTGAGTTATCAGCTGGGTAATGGCTGATTATGACGCGGGGCAGTGAAAGCCGCAAGGAAGTTGTCTGATTGATGTCTACTTATCTTTACACGATAGCCAGTTGTCTGTGACGGTATGTTGTTGACACGAGGTGTGGGGGTCTTGACCCCTAATATTTGCTTAGTGAATTAGGGTTTTTTGGTAAGTCCCCCTTCTCTCCCTATTATTTTTCTCCGTTCTTCAAGTCGTTGTGGTTGTAAGGCAGCAAAGCATCAGTACAAATGGCTGGTGTCCTGCTGTTGATGATGATGATGATTCGACTGGACTGGAGAGACGCTCTACAACTGCATGTGGGTTCAAACTAGAAGACATGTAATTACCAAAGAAGTGAGCAGGTCGAGAATTGAGGGTTGAAAACGAGGAGAAAATGATTGAAACGGGACAGTAAGGACGAAGCGCTGTGGGACGGGAAAGTTTGAGGGGGACCAGGAGACGGTTTATTTGACTTTAACCATTGATTGATCAAGTGTGAGTTGCTCTGAAGGTGCGAAAAGCACTATCGAGCCTAGCGCAGTGCGTCATAGAGGTAAGCGAACCACCGCACCACTAAGGGGTTGTTCCCTAAAGCATGAGCGTACTACAGATGTCGTGACTATTGTAGACAATGCAATCGTAAAGATAGCGAGGGTGAATAACTGATCCAATCTCAACATCGAGCGGTTAACGAGCAGGAAACGGTCCCGCAATACTGATTTACGCTGCGAAGCTGCGATGGTTATGCTATCCAAGGATGAATGTTCTGCCTTGCGAATACCAAACAGCAGGGCGACCGACAACCGGTCAATTGCGCGTCTCCACCTAAAAGTGAGCAAGCACCAAATTTTAGATCGGATTTCTCATGTAATTTGTGAAGCCACTAAATGGGAAACATGATCCGAGATGCCAACAGGCGTACCGGGTCTGCAGCATAATCTTAAGCTTAACCAATTTATTAAAACTTGGACAGGCTCAGTAGAAGTTCGGTAATGCCCTAGACAGACGCTCTTACCTCCGCTGACGACGACGTTATCTTGATTGACCGTAATCGCATTGATGATCGCGTTGTGTCCTGACATGTTTTGCAGAAATGCTCCCTCTGGTAGCTTCCATTGTTTAATATTATCGGGTGACCCGGATATGAACGCATTCCTGTATAGGAAAAGGGTAATATTTAAGGATAAAAAGTTAAAGTACTCGACCACAACGCGCGTGAAGGGCATGTTGTGAGCGAGGTAGGGAAGCAGAACAATCTGCGTTGTTCAGCAACACAATCTAATCATCAGGTCAGTCTATAAGCAAATTGTTTAAAAAGACCTACAATTATGTACCGAGTGACCTGCTTTGCGTAAAATAACGGCAAACTGATATTGTCAGATGGGCCCGTGGCGGATCTGTACGCTGTCGGGCGCGTCCCTAGGTTGTAGATCGGAGAATGTCTTCCTTGTGGAGGTAACTGCGAATAAGTCTCGTTTGCCTTGTAGGCGAGATGAATAAGCAGTCGCGGACAATCAGTAACAGCGTCTCAGAACGTGGAGAGTTCTGGACTGGTCACCTGGTTCTCCATCAAATACCACAAGAGCTCGTACGGCGCTGCAACCTTGCTGGCCACCGGCTTCTCTGTGGGCTGCTTCCAAACACAAAGAAGGCGAATGAGCCATCTGGCTGTCAACGGTCTTCGTGAATCACACCGCTGCCTTTCATGTCAGGTCTTTAAGACCAAAGGTGGGACCCCTTAAGTCGACCCTCTTCCTCGGCCTGCACAACTGGGAAACCCAGTGCCCACATAGTTAATAGAACTTTCTATCCTTTCATCTGACTATCTTTTCCTCCTTTTTGTTATTGTTACTCATGTGTTGTGGCACTTTGTCAAATGTTTATTGAGCAAGCGTTTATATATATATATATATATATATATATATATATATATATATATATATATATATATATATATATATATAGTCAGATGGGCCAAGACGCCAGGATAATCAAATGGAGGCTCGACAGTTCTTCGTATAACCTGCCTAGAGGACGGAAAGATTATTCCACAATCCATATAGGCTTTCACTTTAAAGCTCCTATTGGAAAAACATGAGGAAAGCAGTGTTTCCGATTCAGGAAAGGGTGATGATTATGACAGGAATCTCAAAGGTTTGTTTTACCACCCCTTTTCAGTAAGTTAGCTATTAAAAAACAGCAGAATACATTATTTAACTTACTGTGTAGGGTGTACAAACAGTGACCGAACACTCTTTTTGTGATTGGTCAAGCAAGCCATCGTGCGACCCGCAGCCAAGTCCCAAAGACGGATAGTGGCGTCATGGGATCCGGATAGCACCTGGGGATCGGACTCTTGACACTGGACAGTGGCCACAGTGTTAGAATGGCCAGTGAGAGTATGAACGTTGACCTAAATTTTGAAGGAAGAACACTGCAGAAATCGTGGAAAATGGAACGGTGGCACATTCCACCGAGTGGTGCAGACACTCACCTTTGTCCTCATGTCCCATACGCGGGCAGTTGCATCACGACCGCAAGTGACTAAAACGTCGATTGTGGGGTGTAGGTCAATTCCATAAACAGCTGACATATGCCCGTGATAGTGCCGAATAACCTACGAAATAGGAGTCGAATAGGGCAAACGTGGTTGCATCACTTTATTCTGTTCCAGATCCCAGCAGCGCACTGTTTTATCTTCACCACAAGAAAATAAATAAGGATGTCGCGAGCTAATGACAACACCCCTCACGACGCTGATGTGGCCGGTCAGTGTCAGTTTCAGAGCTCCGCTAGCGAAATCCCAAACCTTAAAAATCAATGACGTCTCAAAGAGAGGCTCCAACCTTTATCATACGATCCCCGGCACCGGTGACAAAGAAATCATTAGTCGGATCGAATGCCACGCAACGCACCCACCCAGTGTGTCCACTGATAACCTGAATCATCAAATGCTGTTGAAGGAAATGAGGCACATTACGCGACAGAGCTTCCAGGGTGGGTGCCATGTTGGTTTCGGCATGGTGGGAGCTTTCTTTGGTAGAAGGAGCTTTTCGGTGCCAATTTGTACGATCGACGTGTTCCGATCAGCCGATGGCCTAAGAACATATAACAAAAGGGGAGACTCACTTTATCTTGCTTCTGTCGGCAGGAATGATCTGACCATCCGCGGGATCTTGACCACCCACTTCAAAACAAAAGTGTTAAAATCGAGGAAAGTACGAACCAGGTTTTGCTTGTCTGAGAGGATTAGCAGAAGGTTGTTTAAGCACAGGACCGTATTGGTCTTTAGCTTTAACGGCTGCTTTCAGTGTGCTACTGACAAAGTCGACTCCCGGCAATCGCGCCTGTTCAGATTCGAACATATCATGTGTGCGTTTTAATGAACGGAACACCAGTGTATGCACAGAATGGCGTTGAACGAACTGAAAATGATTGCTTCAAAGCAACATTACCTCCATGACCGCTCAGACCTGCGTTTTGAGGGATAGCGAGGCTGTAGTATCCAACAATGCTGTAACGGATAAAACAGTTCATTGAGTGCGGAATAAAGAATAATCCAAATATCGAAGTAACGACACCTGAAGCATGGGATTAGCCTGTGTAAATTCCTTAATTGACTTTTACACTACTGTACGTTTGTCTTTTAGATGTAGGGCTCTATTGATAGTAAGCAGATCGTCAAAAAAGAATTACATCAGCAGTTTTCGTCCCTCGTAAGAACATCCGGAAAAGTGGGTATTTTGATCCATTCTGGTTATACCCATTCCCAGCAGTAAGCCATCAGTCAAGACTGCTGCGAAGTGGGTGCGTAGTACATAAAAAGCACGGCTGATTTCTTCAACTTTGCACGCGTCACTACACCGCTGACACGCCATTCCAGCATCGGCGCCGTCGTGTCGTGAGATGATAAGAGAAACCATGCATGGGAACCACATTTCTACCAGTCATACGTGATGCGCCATCCTACATCTCGAAAACAAAACAAGGCCCTCTTCGGTAAGCGGTGACCGGCCATACGTAGTACGTGCTTAAACCAACGCAGCTTATTCAGTGCTATCTGTTATTCTGATGGAATAGCTTGAGTATCACTGCCTAGTACTGGCCTACGCACATCACCGTTGCGGACATGTTGGTGCCACCAGACACAGGCAGCGATGATCAGAGCTGAAGTCGCCGCAAGTCCTCAGATCGAAAAGACCAAGACTCGCTCCTATGGAGTAAGACAACCCTCACTGTTGCCTTGTACACACGGCCTTTTAGATGAATGGAAACTTCTTTCTGATGCCACAGATGTTGCAGATACAGGAATGCAGTTATGGCTTTTGCAATACGTGAGATGACTTTAGCGTTTATGCGTCTATCGTTCCTGATACAGCTATCAAGGTAAGTGAATTGATCAACTACCTAGATTTCCTCGCTATTAAGGATCGAGGGGTCATCAAAGGGCTGGCGGACCTGCAACGACACTGCACTTTGAAGGTGCGAAGCGCAAACTAAATAATGGGACCACCCTTGAGAGGTTATTCAGAGTTGATTGCGCCGACCCAGCATCGTTAAACATCACGACGGTATCGTCCGCATAATCAAGATTAATAAGCTTTTCACCAGACAACACAACGCCTGCATCATGAGGCTCCGCAACGGAACACTGCATGATGGAGTCCACGATGGAAGTGAACAAGCATTGAGAAATTGGACAATCCTGACGAACGCTACTTGTTGTCGGGAAGTTGTCCGATAACTCACGGTAGGCTGTGATTTGGACTGTGGTGTTCGGGTGTAGAATATGTAAAATGTTCACATATTTCATGGGAACACGTTTCTGCATAAACATCTCGAACAGGATCGACTGGGTGAGATGCACTCTTAAATTTGAGGAACACAACTATTATCGGTCTGTGGTATGTGTGGCGCTGCCCTAGCACCTGTCGCAAAAAGAATATATGGTCTATACAGCCACGTCCAGGGCGGAAACCTGCCTGCTCTTCCCTAGTCAGAGATTATTCTTCCACAGTGAAGCGATGAACGAGACTGGAGACAATCAATTTTGTTAACCCTGGCGTTAGGCCAATACTCCTGTGTTTAGCTCAGTCGGTGCGACTACCCTTCTGGTATATTACCACGGTGACCCATTCACACCAGTTAACTAGGATTAGGCCTTCTAGACCTGTTGGAAAAGAGAAGTCATTGCTTTGAAGAGGACCTCATAACCATCCTTAAGTAGCGCGGGTGCTAAGGAATCCCGGTCAGCAGCGCGAAAACGATTAAGGGCTGTGGTCATGCTTTTGGCCTCAGCCTCCGACGCAGCCTTCAACTAACCGTCCGTGGCTTAGCCTGTATCAGCTAAGTAGGCGGGGTCAGGATGTAGGGGTGTGACCGAACTGACCTCGAAAGTGCTCCGCCCAACGAGCCAACCGACACTCTTTATTGTGAATAACAGAACCTCCACTTTCTCTGGTTGTTTCATCGAAGCCTGCGACCATTGATGTGGGTCAGTGGAAAAAGCTTGTGATAATTGCCTACTGCTACCGTCTCCACCATTTCTTGAGCCCGACTGATCCGCCAGGCATCCTTGTCAACACGCAGGATCCGCTTAGTCCGAAACTAATAGGCCGTCTGATTACATCGTGCTCAGATCCATCCGGGACTTTTCTTCCGGATTCCAACAGATTCACTGACCTCTCGGAGATCGAGTGACTGGTGCGGTGACGTTGATAGCACCGCAAGCAGAGGCTCCTGCGTCGCGCATGGCAGCCGAAATAACACTCTTTTGAAGCTCTGTGTCATTAGGATGAGGGGACGAAAGTTCGGAACTCAGGGCATCCTGGTAGGTTCGTATGACCGAGGCCTATTATAACTTCTCAGTTGCCAGTCGAGGAAGGCGCTTGGTACGCTCCCAGTGATGTTAATGGAAGAACGACAGCGTACCGAAGCATGATCAGAGTCGACGTAGGTATTCCAAAATGAGCGACAGCCCAGTATGGAACCACTCCACCTGTAACTTATGAGAAAGTAATCAATTTGCGTCCATCGTTGGCCAGCTATGGAATGACCTCCAGTAGCACTTCGGCGCCCACTGTGCCTGAACGTGGTGTTAATAGGAAACAACCGGCGCTCCCCGTTGTCCGTACGGTCGGAGTTCAGTCCATAATTACCACCTAGCTGAGCTCTTGAAGAGCCCAGACGACCAAACTGATCGATGCTTCAAAAATCCATTCACAGTTACGACGTCTCAAATCGAGTGCACAGCAAGCGTCAAAGACATTCTTCATGGCACACTTTAAAGGAGGCCAGTCAGCGTTCGGATCACCAACCTCACTCGTCACTGATATTTTGTGGGCCAATTCGTTATGATATTGTTGAATTGCAGGCTGAGTTCAAGCTGTAGATAATGTTAGGAGATAGGCGCTTCTTTCAAGCGGAGAGCAGGCGCCAAGTGTGCGCGCACTGGAGCATGGTAGGAATCCAGGCATGTGTTTTAAAATGACCGTCAGTCTTGGACTGATGTACGCCATCTGTAGCTGGTGACAATATGGTCAATTTAGGTCCAGTTCATTGAAGAATATGGTAGGTGCTTGGTGACGCGGTGTGAACGTTTGTGCTGGAAAGCAGTGAAGCTAATATAGAGATTGTGGTCGGCGCACAGTTGCAGGATTCGATCACCATTGTTTATTCGACGTGCATCGACTCCGAACCGCCCTCCCAGGTGTTTCTCATAATCAGAAAGACGACCTCCTTGGGCATTCAAGTCACCGGAAACAATTACGACGTCAGTATGCTTCGTCATGCGGAGAAGAGATGAAAGATAGTAGTAGAAATCACCTTTGGCATCCTTCGAACCGCAGTCAGTAGGAGCATAATTTGAAGCGATAAAAAGGCACGTTGTCTTCAGACGGTGCTTATCAACCCCAAAGAGATTCAAAGTTGATCCACACACGTGGTTGTTCACCGGCATCCAGCTGAGTAGATTACCTTCAGCATGTCTGTTGAGAGCGATATTAACACCTTAAACACCTTGAGCCATTGACTCGGTATCAACAGAGACGCGAAGAGCGTAGTCATCGTCGTCAGATTCAGAACCAGGGAGTCGAATATTCGTCACAACGCTGGTATCTTGTAGACGTATTTCGGAGAAACAGCACACATCAATATCAAGAGAATGAAGAGTGGGAGTCAGTGCTGCCTGCTGATCGATCTGACCCAAAGTGTGGATGTTAAAAAAATCAATGTGAAGTGAGACTTGTTGTTTGATGGACGAGTTACGAGTATGCGATATGGAAGCAAATGTTTGTAGCTCAGGTTGTTCAATTGGTGGTCTCAGTGTTCGCTGAGCTCGGCAGGTTGACTGCAGTCAACCATCGATCTTGACTAAAAAACGAAATAGATGTTTAGTCATATCGCCATACCTTCGATTATTTGTTAACCTGTATGTTTTGATACATCAGCTAAAGAACCGTCCTTATTTAGACAAGTTCTTGATGTGCGTCTTTCGTGTTGCAGACAATAAACGTTTATTTATTTATTCCTAACGGTTCTCCTTTGGACACAGTGGTGAAAAACGAGGTCACGTCGAGGCTTACCACCATCAGGCTCCATGGCAACATTTGCTTACGTTTAGGTGAAACGCGGTGAAGGTGCAAAGCACATGCCGAGTCATGCAGCTCTAAATGTTTATTCAATAGCGCTTGCAGTCATTGTATCCGACAAAAGGAGAGGTATGTCATGCAAATACCCAGGATTTGCCAGATGGTCGCGCGGCACATATGCTTATAAATGGTTGGCGACATCCGGTTCTGGATTAGCTTGTCACTGCGGAATCCATAGAATAGCGACAAGACGCCCGCGCCTACATCGTCACCATCATCAGTACCTGTTAACTGAGGGTGAGAAACACACCTCAGCCAATGTACCGCAATACAGAAAGATAAGATACTAAAAATTAGATTAAAAATTACACTACAAATGTTAAACACTACAATGTTAAACACTACAAATGTTAAATATTATATTATGCGTTTTGCATGAGATCGGGATTAAAGGGGTACTTAAAGGGAGGGGATGAATGGATGGGATCGAAGATGAAATTACACTCCGTATAGCAAAAGCTGGAGGTGTTTTTGCCAATCTCTACTACCTGTGGCGGAGATGCGACATTACTCTCGCCCTGAAGGGCAGAGTTTATAACGTAGCCGTCCGTTCAACTTTCCTATATGGTTGTGAAACCTGGCCCATCAGGTCGACAGGCATAAAGAGACTCGTCACATCCGATCATCGATGCCTTCGCAGCTTAGCTCATTTCTGGTGGGAGCACCGTGTGAGCAATGAGCGTGTTCGATGTCGCGTATTTGGTGCAGGAAGAACGAGTGAACCGCTCAGCACCATTATATCACGCACCAGGCTCCGATGGCTGGGCCAAGTGTTGTGCATGCCAGCACAACACGACTTCCGCGACGTGCATCGTTTTCGCTCTGAGGGTGCGGTTGGAAAAGGGAGGGGAGGCCAAGCGATGAT